GGGGGGGGGGGATGTCACCTACCTTGGGGACCGCGAGCTGCTTGGGGAGCGGGGATGTGGTGGCATCGGGTGGTGGTGGGTGGGGATGTGGTTGGTGCCCCCATGGGGAGCTGGGGGGTGAGGGGGGGGATGGTGGGCAGCTGGTGGCACCAGGGGGCACTGATGGGGACCTGGGGGTACCTATGGGGTCTTGATTGGTGGCACTGATGGGGACCTGGGGGTGCCTATGGGGTCTTGATTGGTGGCACTGATGGGGAGCTGGTGGCACTGGGTGGCACTGATGGGGACCTGGGGGTTCCTATGGGGTCCTGGTCAGTGCCTGGTGGCACTGATGGGGGTTCCTATGGGGATCTGGTGGCACTGGGTGGCACTGATGGGGACCTGGGGGTGCCTATGGGGTCCTGGTCAGTGCCTGGTGGCACTGATGGGGGTTCCTATGGGGTCCTTGGTGGCACTGGGTGGCACTGATGGGGAACTGGTGGCATCAGGTGGCAGTGATGGGGACCTGGGGCTACCTATGGGTATCCATGGGGTCCTGGTTGGTGCCAGGGAGCAGTGATGGAGACTTGGGGGGGGGGTACCTGGTTGGTGACAGTGGGATGGGCCTGGTGACATCAGGTATGGGGGACAGGGACCTGGTGGCTATCAGTGGGATCCTGGTTGGTGCTGGGTGGCACTGATGGGGACCTATGGGGTCCTCGGTTGCTCCTGGTGGCACCGGGTGACAGCGATGGGGACGCGATGAGTAGCGCTAGTGACCAGGGGACGCCAGGGGGCAGTGACAGAGTGACAACGGTGGCCAGAGGGCCGAGCCAGGGACGGTGTGACGCGTCCCCCCCTCTGTCCCCATCTCCATCCCCGTGCGAGCAGCCAGCGCAGTGCAGGCAACGGGTGGCAGATGGGATTCCCCCCCCCAACCCCCCCCACGCGCAGCGCCGCCCCCATCCCCACCACAACAGACACACGGACACACAGACAGACGGCCGGGGGCTGCGCGCACACGCGTGTGACAGACGGGGAGGGTTCACCATCTGGGGGGGGGTGTTGGGCACGTGAAGGTGCCTGCCTCCAGGGGGGGGGGGGGGCACGGGGGGCCGGTCGTGGTTTTGGGGGTGCAGGGGGGTGGAGGTGCGGAGCTCCGTGTGCTGGGGCTGCGGGGCGAGGGGGGAGCAGAGCTCAGGGGTGCGGAGTTTTGGGGTGCAGGGTTTTGGGGTGTGCAGTGTTGGGGGGTGCAAGGTTTTAGGGGTGCAGGGTTTTAGGGGTGCAAGGTTTTAGGGGCGCAGGGTTTGAGGCTGCAGAGTCTTAGGGGTGCAGAGTGGATGGATGGATGGACAGACGGGTGGATGGATGGATGGATGGATGGATGGATGGATGGATGGATGGACGGATGG